AATACCACGTAAGGGATGCAAGGCTGTCGGCTTCTGGATACAATAGTCCTCCACACGAGTCATAGACGACGTGGCGAAGACATGGAGCATAAGGAAGGATCCTTGATTTCGTATTTTTGATGGCGACGCCATGCAGTCGTATTGACTCCAAGTTGGGGGTTCTGTGCTGTAAGAAGGAGCCAAGTACCCGGTCCATGTTACAAAACGACTCGGGAACCCCAGAGAGATTGAGCGTAAGTTTTCTCCATCGCACAGCCATCTCTCCATACGTGCCTGCGAACATCGGGAGGATTTCCAAGAGTACAGGTACATCCCACGGATAGATTTGGCCCGCGAAGTCATTGTAGAAATTGTCAGTTGACCTGGGTAATTGTTGTTCTCTGTGACTCAATTCAATATTGATATCAAGGAGTGTATGCGTGCCATAGTGATTCGCTCGGGGTTTGAAGCGAGATTTCCAGAACGCAATATCTCTCTCGTTGGTGATTCGTACGTCAAAGCTTGCCCACAGAGGCGCATGATCGAGGGCAGCATCTCGCCAAAAACGACAAACAGCAAGGATGCGCTCTAAAGGGTAGCTCGTTGATTCCATCTCTTGTACAAGTTCGAAGATTTGAGCTAGTACATAAAATGGTAATCGATGATTTCCAGCTTTATCCATGTCAGTAGGAACGCCCATTTTCGGTTTATTGACCGCTTTGACCAAAGGCGTCAAAAAGGTGTCGAGCGCTCCATCGGGAAGGTGAGTGAGACTCCTTTGAAGGCGTGGTAGTGATCCCAATAGTGGCTCAAGCGTTGATTTAGGTGTTGGCTCGTGCTTAAATCCAGGTGCCGATTCCGTTTCGGGTACTGATATCTTGAGTTCGGATCCTTGTCCGGAGTTCTTGATAGAAGCGTATTTGTCGCGCTTGAATAGAAGTCGAACGAAACCCTTCATACCGAAAAGTTGAACTCGGAGTAGGGTTGAGAGTTTAAGCTGGCAGATAAAGTCGTAGTCTTCAGGAGCCTAGTCACCCACCTGGCGCCAATCACTCGGGCATGTCAAACAGAGAACGCCACTAACGCGTCTTTGCTTGTCTTTGTTGACAGATTGGGCTCTTTTACATACATATCTACTACTAAGCTAAATATAAGGGCGTAACCCGCTCTATTTATTCGTTTGGTGTCAACCACGAGGGCTTGCTTGCGGTTACAGCCTAGAGGCCGTGGCAAGCGCTGTTTCACCCTTCACAGATACCAGAGCACCATTTATTACCACTTTTTCAAGAAATATCCACTATTCGACTAAATATAAGGCACTCTATTTCCCCATCTGGAACTAAGCAGCCATTTCCACGAGAGATATCAAGTACGAGAGTCTCAAGGTATAATCACACCACGCTCACTGATCTTTCGAGTTGGCCGGGAGACCGAGTAAGCCGCTCGTCTATCTCCCTCCCCATGAAATGGACAAGAATAGGCCTTAGAAGCCTATACGTCTTTACCATATCTGGTCCCCATGAGATCAAAGTTAAAGAAGTCAGACGGTCTATCAGGATTTGAGCCTTCCTCAAGATAGCTTCATGGTCCTGTCCCAGTCCTCGCCTCTTTACCGTGTGGAATATGCAGAGCGACTTTACCTTTGCATAGGGTATGCCTTGACACTCAGTCACAAGAAGGAAGAGCCCCGTTTCGTCTATCCCAAGCCCGAGGTGCCGAAGAGACGGCACTTGAAATATTTTCACCAAGGCGCTGTTTGTGACAACTGGCATTCGCAGCGTTTTGAGTCGTGGGAGATAGAATGGTGCAATTGAGTCTATCCAGTCTATTGATATCTCGAGGAAGGTGAGGTTTTGTGCTGCTAATAGAACGTGAAGCACAGAGGATCGTTGATTTGGCTCTCGGTGAGAATATCAAGTTAGGGATGTAAGGTTGTGGCCCTCCGGGTATAATAGTCCGTTACAGGAGTGATAGACGGCGCTGAGAAGCCGTGGAGCGTAGGGGAAGATCCTGGGTCTCATAAATCTTGTGCGGACGCCATACAGTTGTAGTGACTCTAAATTGGGGGTCCTGTGCTGTAGGAATTCGCCGATGACCTCGTCTTCATTGTGATCGTACAAGGGAACCCGGGAGAGATCAAGTATAAGTTTCCTCCATCGTGTGGCCATCGTCCCATGCGTGCCTGCGAACACCTGGAGGACTCTTATGAATGTGGGTATGTCATCTGGCGCGACTTGACTCGAAGCGATACGCTGAAAATTACCCCTAGGTGTATCAGGAAATTTTTCTTTTCGTTCTCGGTTGATCAGTTCAATATTGATATCGAGAAGAGCATGTATGCCGCAGCGATTCACTCGGCGTTTGAAGTGATATTTCCAGAACGCGACATCTCTGTCGCTGATAATTCTGGCGTTAAAGCTTGTCCACAGGGGCGCATGATCGAGAGCAGCATCTCGCCAAAAATGACAAACAGCAAGGATGCGCTCCAAGGGGAAACTTGTTGATTCCATCTCCCGTATGTAATCGAATATTTGGGCTAGTACATCAAACGGCAATCGATAATTGGCCCCCTCGACCAAAGGCGTCGATGAGTTGTCTAGGCCCTCGTCGGGAGAGTCCGCGAGGCTCCTTTGAGGGGGTTTTAATGAGCCAGGAAATGTCTCAAGCGTTGGCTCGGAGCCTCGCCACTGGTTCTTGATAGAAGCGTGGTTTCGGCGTTTGAATAGAAGTCGAATGAGAGCTTTCATGGCGTGTTTTTGCGATAAAAGTCGAATTGGGAGTTGATTGGGAGTCGATGCTGGCAAAGAAGGTCGTGGTTGCCGATAGACCAGTCACCCACACGGCGCCAATCACGCGGCATGCTAAATAGAGAACGCACCTTAGGTGTCATTGCCGGTGCTTTTTTACAGAATGGCTTATTTCACGTATAAATATATGTATTACTAAGTTAAATATAAGGGTGTGACCCGCTCTATTTACTCGTCTGGAATGGAACCAGCCACTTCCACGAAATCAAGCCAAATAAACGTACTGAGACATGATCATAGTATACTAGCTAGCCTTTTTCTAATTGTCCAGGGAGCCGAGTAAGCTGTTCATCTACCTTCCTCCCCACAAAGTGGGCCAGAATAGACGTTAAAAGCTCCTGCTCCTTGTCCACCATAGTCTGTTCCCACGAGATCAAAGTCAAGGAGGGCATTCTCCCTATCAAGACTTTCGACTTTTCCAAGATGATCGCGTGGGACCGTGCCAACTCTTGCTCGGTCTGTACGGCGTAGGAGATATCGAGGGATTTCACCTTTGCGCAGGGTATCCCTTTACACTCTGCCACGAGAGCAAAGTGACCGGCTTCGTCTAACCCGATCCCGAGGCGTTGGAGGGACGGAACATGGAGCATTTCGATCAAGGTGACATTTATGACGGCAGGGATTAGTAGCGTAGTGACCCGCGGGAGGAAGAATGTCGTTGCCGAATATATCCATTCAATCCCTATTTCGAGGAAGGTGAGGTTCTGTGCTGCTGATATGACACCGAACCCAGAGGACCCTTCGTTTTGCACTCCACTGTGGGCAGAGTACCAGGTGAGGGATGTAAGTTTGTCGCTTTCCGGATATACCAATCCGTCACAGGAGTGGTAGACGGCATGACGGAGGCGTGGAGCGTAGGGGAAGATTCTTGGTCTCGCATGTTTTGTGGTGATACCATACAGTTGTAACGACTCCAAGTTGGGGGTCCTGTGTTGTAGGAAGTAGGCGATTGTCCGGTCGGTGTTGTGATACGACTCGGTAAGCCGGATAAAGTTGAGGGTGAGCCTTCTCCACCGGGGGGCCATCGCCCCATGCGTGCCGGCGAACACCTTGAGGACTCCTAAGAGTACGCTCGCATCTGGTAAGTCGTATGGGCGAGTTTGATCCGTCCCATAGACACCACTAGGTGACCTGGGCAATTCTTTCACTCGATTGACCAATTCAATATTGATATCGAGAAGTGTGTGCGTGCCGCAACGATTCGCTCGTGGTCTGAAGTGGGCCTTCCAGAATCTGATATCTTTGATGCTGGTGATTCGGGCATCGAAACTTGTCCAAAGAGGCGTGTGATCGAGGGCGGCGTCCCGCCAAAAGTGGCAAACGGAAAGGACACGTTCCAAAGGGTATCCCGCCGATTCGGTATCCCGCACAAGTTCGAAGATTTGGGCCAATACGTAGAACGGCAGTCGATAGTTTGCTGCTTTATTCATGTCAACCTTCTTCGGTATACGAGATCTTTCGACCACGGCCGTCACTGAGTTGCCGATTACTGCATTGGAAGTCTTGGCGGGGCTCCTTTTGGGGTGTCGTTCTGGACTAGGTGATGGCCCAGGTGTTGTTACAAGGGTCGATACGGGTGCCGGTATGGGTGTTGGTGCAGGTGTTGGTTCGGGTGCTGATGTCTTTAGCTCGGCGTCTCGCTTTTGGTTCTTGATAGACGCGTGTTTGTCACGCTTGAACAATAATCGAATGAGGGCCTTCATGATAATGTTGTTGAGAGAGGTCGAATTGGGAGATGGAGGTGAGAGTCTAAGCTGGCAGATAAGTTCGGCTGCAGGCTAAGTCACTCTACGGCGCCAATCATGCGGACGACATGACGCCCTAAATAGAAACCGCGACCGAGCTGTCACCGCTGGCAAAATGCTGGCTATGTCGAGTTTTCTGTTGACGGACCAACTCCTCAACGTATCGTCAATGCACAATAGAACTTGGAACGAATCAAGTCAGGGGAGGGCAGCTCACATGAACCACATAGTGTATTGCTGGCATGTAGATGCAGCAAGTACGATGCTACAGGCACGTTCAGTCGAGTCAGTTCAATGACAAGGTCGATCGAGAGGCACTGCACCAGCCACTCGGGTTCCCTACGGACGATAGGGCAAAAAAAGGGTTCCGTAAGGCTAGTATACCCCAAAATTAAACCTTAATGATTACCTCATAATAAAGACGTCATCAAAATGTTCCTTAGAGGAAGTGGCGAGCGGGAACAAAAAGCTCGCTGCCGGGGAGTCGAACCCCGCTCTCACGCGTCCGCCGAAATGACAGGCGTATGTTCTACCGATATACCAGCAGCGATTTTAGATGCATGCTAAGAAACTTTAACTACTATATTGGCACAATTAGGCCATCACACAGAAAATATTTCTCCCGTCCCAACCCAATCATCAAACATTTCCTTTGACCCTTGATCAACACTTGAATGAGATCATCGATTAATGAAACTTGAATGGCCTGCGCCTTCTCTAATATTGCTTGGGGGTCCGATTCTCGTCGAGCCTTCGTTTATCTTAGGATGACGGCGTCTAATTCGGTAACGATCCCACGATCGAATGTTCAAAGCGTACAATGTCCGAACGAAAAGCCTAGTATACAGACACTACAAACGCAGGCTTACATATCACGCTCGGAATCAATCCTCGCTAAAAGCACTTGCCAGTCCTGAGCCATCTTCGTAAGAGAACGTCCACGAGCTGAATACAAGTCAGTCCTGTGTCCTTCAAGGGTTCGTCAATCACTTACCAAGGACCGGCAATACATCCAACAGGAGATCCCTCTTGTTCATACCCAACACTTTGGGATCCCACTTCGCTGGTGGGCTAGGGTCGGGTCTCGTAGGGTCCCTGGGAGGAAGTATTAGCAAGATGCTCCGAATTTAATCGAGTTGACTCACCAGAAGACTGGGCCACACAACTCCCTGACTAACTCGTCTGCTCTGTCCGCCAACCCATCATCAGCCAACTTGGCAGCATAAACCATAAGTGCAGTCCGGTATTCCGATGGATTCCCAAGGATTCTAGCGGCATGCAACCTCGTTTCCAATGAACCAAGGGCGAGTGCGGTTCCCAGTGGAGACTCTTCCACAGCGGAGCGACGCGATCCAGAGGTGGGAGATTGAGATGGATCGGAGGGCCGTGAAGATCGACGTGATGGAGGCGGTTGTTGGTGCCACCAATGTTCGGCCAGTCGTACCCATGCTCCCAAACTTTGATCCCAGGCAATAGATGTCCCGGATGTAAACGTGATCAGGGATACACCATTGTCGTATATCTTGGCAAGGGAGATACCACCAGTTGTCGCCGTGACTTGAGATGCAATCGAGGAGGGAGGAATCATGGAGGCCTTTGTTTGAACATTCCTGAATGGTGGGTGGTTAGCGTAAACTTAACGAAGATATATGACGTCGTGCCATGTATAATAAGAACCTGTCGAACAGATTGCCATAAGGTATTTGCTAGCGGCAGCGAGGATCGCAATCGGCGCATCCAGTGAGATGGTCGGCATGGCCCTATCACAGCAATGAGAATCATGGTATAGCAAGAGGACTCAAACGTACCGTCGACCAGCTGGCGTATAAACAATCAGTGAAGAATCGTCGAGGCTCGCGGCATAGAAAATCGGCGTTTTAACGACAGACAAAACTCTTGCTGGGACAAAGTCTGTCCAAAGCACCAGAGATCCGTGTGCACAGATAATCTCGGTTGGTACTATACGGGAAAAGTTGTTAGAGAAAGTAAAGTCTCCATATCCTTAATGACATTGCCTTACCAGAAGAGTCATCCGAGTTTCTCGCCTCAAACACAAGTTCTCCAGGTATCCCTGCGCTCACATGCGTCCGCAAAGGCGGCAACTCCAACCCGGGGATATGTCCACTCGAACCAAACCCGCCCATACCAGAACCTTGTCTACGTGGGCTCGTACTCATATTCGGCGGCTGTGAGAGTATCCTCGGTTCTCCAGATCCAGGCAAGCGTGCTCCCGGTGCGATTTGGTAGCCATAGTCTGGCGGGTACGTAAGGGATGGAGCGGCATGGTGGCGTGATGAGGATCCGTGTCCATGGCGTGTAGGACTCGAACTCGACCTGCCTCCTTCTGGAGCCCATTCCATTCGGCCGTCCATTCCCATATTGTTAGAGGAGGATACAGCTGGCGGTGGGGGCATCGAGCCAGACGAACTCGTGATAACGCCCGTACCACCACCCAAGAACGTGGGCTGGATTCGCTTTTTACCAGTCTTGGTGATCGTCACTTTTTGAGCTTGGTTGATTGGAGGTGGGGCGACACCTGCTACGCTCATCGAAGACGAAGGAGATGTGAGATACCCCGGGCGAACAAGAGGAGGCATGCCCGAGCCACCTCCATGGGAACCGCCATGAGGCATGTTATACGCAGATTGACCATAATGAGCTTGAGGCGAATACGAATCCCTTTGGTAATGGGATCGAGCGTTCTGTTGGTATCCATTGGACTGCATATGGTTGGCCTCAAGAGGTGGTGGCCAAGGAAAATCGAACAAGTTCAGATACGACTTTGTTTCCTCGGCAGTCGTGACACCGTCCATCTCGCTCTTCCTCCTGCTTCCCATGCCCATCATGCCATTGGGCTCTGGATCGGAAAAGTCGAGTACGGCAATGGACCCATCGGCACTACACGCCCATATACTCTTCCCGTCAGCGCTCCAACTCAAATCGAGGATCTGCCTGTCAAACGCTTCTTTGGCGACAACCAACGGACGTGGGTCTGTAGTACGCCAGATAGAAATGGAACGATCATCCGCGCCAAGGGCTACAACCGAATAGACATTGGCTGCCTCTTCGGCAGCATCCTCGTCGCCGTCGGCTGATCCGTTGACTTGGGAGTTTTTAGAGGGTGAATCGTTGTAGTTTGTTGTTGATCGCTTGATGGGTGAGACGGAGGGCAATGCGACGGTTTTATCTCGGCGGAAAAGGCGGGGGTTGTATGCTGCGACTTGGATGGTGTTTTCGTGTCCTACGAGGGAAACATTCGAGTTCCATGACTCGCGCTCGATTACTGCAGCAACGAAGACGGCGTTGCTGTTCATTGCGTTTGAGGTGCAGATGTAGGATGCATCTGGGGACCAGCTGCAAAGGAACGTTAGCGCGACCAACAAGATGCACGCAGTTCTCCACATACCTCAACCTATTGAAGAATGCACTTCCGGGGCTAGTTTCATATGGTTGCGAGATGGTGGTCTCCAGCCGCCAATCCGTAGAGCGCCAGATCTTGACTGTCTTGTCATCTGATTGCGTAGCGAGATACTCCCCAACGGGATCCCAGCACACTCCCTTGACGAAACCTTGATGACCGTCCAAACGGCGAATGCATTCTGCAAAGGTCACAAGGTGAACAAAGGAGACAGCGGGCTTGGGACCGATGCATACCTAGAGTGTACCCGCACCAGATGAAAACCTTCGAGTCCAGTCCTACAGAAGCGAGATATCGATCGCTCGGGGACCATGCACAATCAACGACGTCTACCAGGGCTAAGCACATGTTCGGCGAAATGGATGATCGTACGAACCACTCTCATGACCGGTGAGTCTCCTCAGCGCTTTCCACCCTTCAACATTGACGTCGTCGGTTCCCCACACCTTGCCGCCTCCGTTTCTAACAAAGCTGGATTTAGTTTGTCGTGAAGGATTAAGAAGGGATAAAACGCACGGATCCAAGTCCCAAATCATGACAATTGTATCGTCGCTACCACTTGCCAACCATTTGCCACTAGCGGCCCATCTCACGACCAAGACAGGGCCGGTATGCATTGTCAAAGTACTCAGCGACTTGTGCTGCCCTCTTTCCTCGGCTTTTTGTGATAGAATTGGAGATGTAGACCATATTCGTATCTTTGCGTCTACATTTGCACGTTTAACCCTGGATACGTCGGGTGTAAATGAAAACCGAACCTAGACCTCCGGTCGCAACGCGACTGCCATCCGGATGAACTGAGACTGAGAATATCGTAGTTCGCTTGTGAGGATCATGTTGGTCTAATCATTTGTGAAAACATTATTAGATTAGCAACCCTTTTTCGTTCAACATTGCCGTAGTTTGTACACACCATAATGAGCCACCCATGACGGTTTTGTAAACCGCATCGTACAAGACGCGTATTTTGGGTATTTGATTCGCTGTTTTCTTGGTTTCGCTGGCGGCGTTAGAGTTCAAGGTTGCTCACCCTCAAGTTGCGCATCTTCTTTCGACTTCACCACTCGTCATTCTAAATATTCACCTCCGACAGACTCAACATAAACGAATAATAATACGATATAAATACTGCTTAGAGACTTTTAGGACGAAAGGGCTTGAAGGCATTGGTAGACTGCTCTCCACCGCCAATACTGTGCTCCTTTACATCTAGGATGAAAGTACTCAGAAGAAAGATGGTAGTGGTTGGTGATTCGTGCGTCGGTGAGCGCAGCTCATACTGAGCAGGCGCCTACTCTAAAGATCGTTTAGGCAAGACTTGTCTATTGGAAGTGATAGCACGAGGAGTCTTTCCCACCTATGTGCGTATGAATCCTCCAGCAAATGCGTATCACAGACTAACATGGTTCACACTAGATTGCATGTAATTACGGAGGTCATGTGGAAGAGGTCGTCATAGACGGAAATATGGTCCACCTCGGATTTTGGGACACATCGGGTAGAGAGGAATACGATCATTTACGACCTCTTAGCTACCCTGACAGCAGCATCATTATCCTCTGCTTTGCCATCGACAACCGGGAATCCTTTCTCGATGTTACACGACGGTGGTATCCCGAAATCATGGCGTTTTGTTCCGCCCCAAGGGTTCCAATCCTACTTGTTGGTTGTAAGGCCGACTTGCGGGATAACGACACTGGCATGGGTTTATCAGCAAAGTCGGTCACGAGTGAGGAGGGGCATGCTACTGCCGCAGCAATCGGAGCTGTAAAGTATATGGAATGCTCAGCCTTGCTTGGCCAAGGTACCCGCGAGGTAATATTGGAAGCAGCGAAAATCGCAGAATCTTGGACACCTCCACCGCACGGACGATACTCAAGAACATGCCGACCCTTCTAATTAATCCAGCTTCTCTTTGCATGCCCTCAAAGTGGTATCTTAACAAACCATTAATTGAACTTGCTCACAAATCGAGCAACCCTGCCCTACTGTAGCCGTTGATGTATAACAGAGTTTAATCCAGCCTTATAAACACCCTCATATTGCCTGATTACGCGTAACTATCGATAATATAGCCATTCACCTGTGATGGTTGTGTTGGTTCAAGGTTGGTCACGCTCAAGCCGCGCATC